GATCAACTTGGAGTTTTCTTCTCCCAGATATCCTCCTGGCTAACTCCGTCATTTCCTTCAGGTCTTCAATAAAATGCGACCGTCACAACATCGCCTACCTAGACGTTCTATATAAGATTGTCAATTGTAGGCCAGGCTCGGTGTGGCTCAGCCTGTAATTCCAGCACTTTGGGAGGCTGAGGTGAGTGGATTGCCTGAGCCCATGGGTTTGAGACCAGCCCAGGCAACTTGGCAAGACCTTGTCTCTACAATAAGTCAAAAAATTAGCCAGGTGTGGTAGCGTGCACCTGTAGTTCCGGTTACTTGGAAGGCTGAGGTGGAAGGATTGCCTGAACCCAGCAGGTCGACGCTGGGGTGGCCATGAGCATGCTACTGCACTTGAGCCTGGGCGACAGAGTAAGACTCTGACTCAAAAAAAAAAAAAAGAAAAGAAAAGAAAACAGGCACTGGAGTCAGAATGCCACTACTCAGAACCTGGCTCTTCTTTTATTAGTCAAGTAACTACTGCCAGGGTACTTGATATCTCAGTTCCTCAAAGATCTCATCTGTAAAATGGGGATATCAGTAATTCCTATCTCAGAGGACTTTTCAAAGAATTAAATGGAATGATATATATGTGTTTGTGTGCATGTGTAAATATTCAGAACATGCCAAGGTGTGACAGTATGTGATGAGTAAGTTTTCGCTGTTATCAAAAGATGCACAGTTCTTTTAAAATGCCACCATTTGAAGCAGGAAAAAAATTACACAAAAGAATTAGTGAAATATTCAAACAAGTCTGTAAGAATTAACAATAGCTCAAGACTAAAGCAGTACCATAACTGTTCACTCACTTATTAACCATCCACTATGAGCAGAATGCTTTTACTCTAAGTGAAAAAACAAAACAAACACAAGGTAATTAGAATGTCCAAAAGTTTGATATGGAAGTTTTTTTCTGACAGTTCAATGATTTTAAAACTATTGTCTACAAAGCAATATATATTAATCACAGGATTTCAGCTCTGAAAGAGCCTTTAAAATCACCAAAGCTAACCCTATATAGAATTTATTCATCCATTAAAGTAACAATCATTTTTGTCAACTATTTGTCAAACAAAAAAAAAAACCCCTGACATTATCCTTGACTATGTTAAGTTTACAGTCTAGTAGAAGAGATAAATCAAACAAGTAAAATACACAATGACAAATCACAGTAAATACTGTGTATGGCCAGAAGAAAGGCTACAGGAGGGAACATCAGACAGAACTTGGTTTAGATTGGGAGGAATGAAAGCTCATTTAAGCTGAGACTTGAAAAGTAAGTAGGCATTGACAAGTCAGCGAATTCAGAGAAAACAGTTCCAGGAAGAGGCAACAGCAAGTATAAAGGGTCTCAGAGGAAGAGTTTTGGGTGTTCAAGGCACTGAAAAGCCAAAATAACTGTATTGTTAATGAGCAAGAGGACAACAGCAATGCTGGAGAAATAGGGGAAAGACCAAATCAGGTGAGACCTTGCAGGCTTCGTTAAAGATAACATTGCATCCAAGTCTAATACGGAGCCACTGAGGAGTTTTAAGCAGGAAAATAGCATCAGATTTGTGTTTTTACAAAATCACTCTAGCAAATATGTGAAGCATGAACATGTACAGGAACAGGAAGACTAGACAGGAGGCTACCAGAAAGAGAATAGGGCAACGTGGAAAGAGTGAACACAACAGAGACGGACTGAAGTTGAAAATTCTAGACACATTTTGAAGTTGGAATCATCAGGATAAAAGATGGATTCACTATACATAAAATAAAGTCTTCAAGAGGCATCCTGGATCTGTGAACTAAGTGGATTGGGGTTCAACATGCTTATTAAAATAGGAAAGATACAGGGGCAACAATTAAGAGGCTCATCTCTGGCAAAGTATCAGATGTTTATGAAATATACAAATATGCCGGGCACAGTGGCTCATGCCTGTAATCCCAGCAATTTGAGAGGTAGAGGCGAGAGAATTGTCTGAGTCCAGGGATTCAAGACCAGTCTGGGCAACATGGCGAAACCTTGTCTCTACAATAAATTTTTAAAAATTAGCTGGGCGAGGTGGTGCGTGCCTGTAGCTTCAGCTACTTGGAAAGCTGAGGCAGAAGGATCACCTGAGTCCGGCAGGTCGAGGTTGCAGTGGCCGTGAGCATGCCACTGCACTCCAGCCTGGGCAACAGAGTTAAGAATCTTACTTTAAAAAAAAAAAAAAAACTAAAAAAGAAATATACCAACATACATATCAGAAGAGAACATAGTTATCAGAAGAGAAGTTGAACTATATACACAGTGCTATTTGAATAGATAGACAGAAGGTTGGATGAATGGATGATGTTTACTAATATGAATAAACCTCAGTTTAACCACAGCATCCAGAATTACACAAATGAACTATTACTAGTATATTCAATCTCAATCTACTACTGAAAGAAATAGAAGAAATCGACAAACACACTCCTAACAATCAAATCTCTGAAACCTCTTTAATCCTTTCCAGCCTTTCAAAAAGATGAAGCAAATAATGTACAAACTGAAATATCATCAAAGAACTACCCAAACAGGGCATTCTGCACTCAATAGTCTAACACAGCACTGTAAACATTTACATATAATTTTCTAAATTAAAACTGTCTTTGAAAATCTACAAAATCATGATATAGTTAACACATAACAAAATCATTTTTATATACTTTAAAATATAATCTCTCTTGGATGGAACCTAGGGTGAATTCTTTACACCAAACAGTATAACAGTATAAAACAGTATAACAATATAAAAACTTTGTGTTAGAAAACATGCCAGAGTACTTTAAGGATACCTTAAAAGTTTCAGTTCAAAATATACAAATATAGGTCTACTCTATTATTTTTAGCTTGTCCTGGTATTTTACGTGTCTTCTTAAACTGGGACACTGCTATTTTTTGAGGTTAATGTGACTGATAAAATCAAATGTGTGGTTTAGAATGTCTAACTGTAGACAGAGATTTGTATGTTCTTGGAATCTGCAGTTTTTACTTTGTCTTTATCTACAAGTTGTAACTTTTATTCTTGAAAATAACCAATTCAGCCATTTCCTATATGCCAACATCTTTGTCCTTATCACATAGATAAAAATTAACCAGAATAAAAACAGAAGGCTTCCTGCCTTTCTGTCCTGGTGTAAGAGTAACATGAGAAGGTAGAGAGGAAGTTTACTAAGATAGCTGCGCACTGGGTGATCACAGTAGAAGCAATATGTGTAGCCTGACAAGGGGACAGGATGACAAGCTCCTTGATGCTGTCAGAACCTCCTCTTGAACTATTTAAAAGCAATACCATTCATCTGAGAAGATGGCTTGCTCCAGCCCTACAAATGAAACTGACTCTGACCCTTGACACTGTCCCTACCTTTTCCCATCTTTTCTACATGTGAGTTCTCTCTCTCTCACACCCAACCCCAACTTCTATAATAATGCATATTCCAGTTAAAAATATCTCTACGCATTTGCTGACAGATAGCAAACTGAAAGATAAGTTTCTTCAATCAATTGTTTCAGGATAAACAAAAACACTACAATCTCTCTTTTCTTCCAAAGTTCACATTTCTAAAGTGAATAAAAAGAAATCCAGCAGCTGATAATATCCCATTGCTACTGGACATGTAAATCTTGAAACTAGCTTAAACTTTGTGAGAAAAATCAGAGTGCCTTATTCTTAATAATCACTGCTAACAGAGAAGGCAGCACAATGCAAACGAATCCTAGCAAGCCTAGGAAAAGACCAAAATTCTCAATAAATATAGAACTCTTTGCCTCTGAGTACTCACTGTGGGTCATGCTCACTTACACTCTATGATACAGTTCTGATGCTAAGAAACTATACTTTAGTTCCCATACCCAATGCCTTTTAAAATTCAAGCATTTGAATTTAACTCAGCAAAACTTTACTCTGAATATCTAACTACGTAATGGAGTGAAAGGTGCTTTGTACAGATACCATCATACTAAAAACAGTTCTGTTGTATAAATGTTTAAAAGCCTAGAAAAGAGTTAATAGACGACAGTGACAACTAGATAACTAAAAACAAATTTAATGGTGAAACTGCAGTTTGGTACTAACACACCAATAAATAAACTGATGTCACTAAAATTTTCATCCTAAAAACTAAATTAAATCAATCTGTAGTTCTGCTTATAAAACTTCAGCTTTTTTTTACCAAGTGCAGGTTCCTCCTTTCAAAATTCCTTCCTAAGAGGATGAACATATTTAAATATATTTGAAATAATAAATATTTTTATTAAATTTTTCATTAAGAACTTTATCTATTAAATATTCTCTACTACTGTAAGCAAAACAGATGAATTTGGTTTTACTCATGCACAAATTATACGGCATTTTCAATGTCTAAATATGCTTTCCCAATACTGTCTTTGAGTATTATAATGAAAATACTATATTTTACATTCATATTCTTAAATAAAAACTTTAACAGTATTGAAATTGAAAGATGAGTGTTCATAGTACTTCTAAACCCATTTTACAATAATATGGAATTTCAAATTAGGTATATAATGTTTATAGTGAGCAAAGAAAATAAATTTTTAAAATTACAAAATCATGGATACTCTTATCTCCTGCAGCTCTGTTTAAGCTAACATTAGTCTTTTTATTCCTTAAACATTTCCATACCAGAGAATAAATAGAAATGTCTAGATTAAAAGAAAACAAAACTTTTAAGAGACACAGGACAGAACATTAAAAGATAATTTAACTCACTTGAAATTCATTTCCATAAAAATATTTTTACCATTTAAAAACCTACCAAATTGGTTTTATGCAATAGTTGTAAACTCGCACCCACATTAACTTCCATTTTTCTCAAGTTTAATTGTAAAGCTATCTGTGAATCTATAGAAATAAATACATTCTGAAAAATTCATTCACTTGTTTAGTGCAAAAGCATGTATTTAAATAAAATATAAGCTGAACAGATTTTTAAGTTATTTATACCTTTAGCCCAACACATTGGAAATGGACTACAGCCGCTTTTCTCCATATAGATGGCACCTGCTGGTTTCAGGGCCTCTTGGCCTGCCAGTTCCAACAACATGCACCCAGTCCTATAAAGATCAAGCCAGGAGTCCGCACACAAAGTCCCAGTTCATCGCTCCAATAGTATTTGCTTCGATCCACAAGCAACACTAAGCTTCCCCTGTGTGCTCCTTTTTTTCAGAGCTTGAAGCAAAATTTGGGAGGTGTTCCTTCTGTAATATTTTCCAGTAGCTTGAAGAATGCCTCTCAGTTACAGAATCTTCTCATGCTTCCGCAATCTGAAACACAGACCATCCTGGCCAGATTAAGCTACTGAACAGAATGAAACCAGCTAGTACTGTAATGTGACCCCATGGGTCTCTGTTCCTAGATTCATTCAGGAAAGGAGAGAGAGGGGGAGTGAGGGAGAAAAAAGAAGGAAACTAGGGAGGAAAAAAAAGGCCAGTAGCGACTATCTTATTAATATGCTAATCTCACCCTTTTGTTCAATTCATTCAGCAGTTCTGTTTACAAAACTGACAGCCGTTTCTAAAATTGAGTAAGCTGTAAATCAAGTCTGACCCAGATCATGTAGATGGCTGTAGATGACTTCTCAAACCATTCTGTTTTCAGCCATGTCTTTGTCATTTTATCAACCTAATACTGATCTTAGAATTAAAATAATAACCTTAATGAAATAAAAATTTTGAAAAAAAGTACTGATGAACATTAAAAACAAGTCTGCAAATAAATATGTCTATAGGAAACTAAATAAATTTTTAAGAAAATACTTTTCCTGACTGATACCTTCATATTAAGTTTATAAATTGACAACACCAGAAAACATAAAAACAAGAATTTGAGGTAGCCAGATTCTTTAAAATTAGCTTACAGGGTATTAAGGAATCCAAGATGGATGATGTCTTTTCTTAGCTACAAGATATGGGAGCAATAAACTCATACAAAGAAGTAGGACAGGAAAACACCCTTACAGTCTGTACTAGTAACATTTTTAAGATGCAAAGCTACTAGTTTTTCCATTCAAACTGTGAGATGGTCAAGGTCATCTCAAAACTTTAGCTATTTGAACTCATCCCACTTAAGCAGTAAGATAATACATAACTAGGCTCCCGGTGCCTTTGTTCTCTGAACATATGCCACACACACTGAAGCTCTATACAATTCTAGCCCTCCTAATGTGTGGGTAGTTTTGTAGTACAATTCTATTAACTAATACAAAATAAAGTACTTTACTTAACTGTGAAAATGACCAAAGTTTTGTTTAAGAAATCACTAACTTCTGAAAACAAGAGCTGAACAAAGGCAGGAGAGAACAAGTGGTGCATCTGTGTCCATTGATGCCCCAGGACAACTGCATCATTTCTAACATGCTACTCTTGATGAAGGCTTTGTCCTGAGGTCTACTTTCAGGCTCCTAACAGTAGCCAGAGTTCAAGTGACCTCTTCTATGCTCCAGTGAAAACATATCATTCACCAGTGTGAATTCTGACCCGAGGCAACACTAGGAAGACAGGGGTTCCAGAAAAACACAAACAAGCAAGCAAGCTAGAAAAAGAACAGAAGAAACAAGCAAATAAAACATGAAAAAAATCCCCAGCATCCACCATTATTGAGAAGAGATCAAGACCATAAAGGACCACTGCCATGATGGGAAGGATAAAAAGTACATCCACATCACAACAAAGTATGATATCTGACTCACTCCCATAAGAATGACTGGGAGTTTCATCTGAGCCATCAACTAACAGACCGTACAAATAACCCAAACAAACTATTAGTCCATCTTGGAAATTACGACTCTCAAAAGTTAAAAAATAAAAACTACCTTTACAAGTTATCTACTATTTTCTACACTCCAAATACTGATTATATCTAAATTTCACATCTCTTAAGCAAACTCAGCACTACTGCATTTCCTTTAAAGATGACCGCACTAACGCAAAGGCCAGGGCCATATGACTAGGAAGAAGCACAGCCACTAAATCCACTCACTCACCTATGTCACCTGGGTCTTCCCACCACAGCACTCTACCCTATCCCAGAAATAATTTTTGAGCCAGACTGAATAGCTGCCACAGGACTTAATGAGCAGAAGAGAGAGTGGTTCAGGCAAAGGGAGGTGATGACCAGAGCTAATGCAGTTGCAGTGACAGAGGGGACAAAATGACAAACTTGAGAAAAGTGAGTGTGAAGAATGAGGGAAAGGGATGAACCTATTTTCTGACTTTAAAGTGACCAGTAGACGAGAGCTTTCTTTCCCATCCCCCTCATATTTCATAATTTATTTCAATATCCAAATATATTCGCCTCCTAATGTACAAGATCCTGAGAGTATGAAAAGATATAAAAAAGCATAAATTCCTACAGGCCAGAGACCAAGGTGGCTAAATAGAGATCAGACTGAAGAAGCAGCTACGGAAATGTTAGGAACCAAGTCAGGACTCTGAGAAGAAAGAGATGAAGAGGATGAAGGTGATACTGTGGACAATAACCCTGTACCTTTTGGTGAGCAACTACAAACTAGTTATACATAAAATAATTGCATTTAATCCATAACATAATCCCAGTGAAGTAGCTACTTCTTTGCTCTCAGAGGGGAAAATTAAGTTCAGAGCCATTAAGAAACTTGCCTAAGGTCAACAGCTGAAAAATGATGCAAGTGGTACTAGCTAGTTTGGTGATAACATTACTCTTATTTTTTTCCTGCTACATGTTAAAGACAAATTGTGCTTTCATATTCCTAATCCAGAACATCTTGAAAAGAACAGAAATAGCCTATCGTTAATGACAACATAAGTCAAAAAAGTAAGCAATCTTCTCTGTTCTCTTATGAAATTCTATTTTACAGTCTCCACTCATTAAAAGTTCTGTGATATTTAAATCAAACTCTTTTAGTATCAACATAGTTAAAAAGCAACTCTGGCAAATCCTACTTAATAAGAAAACTCTCCATTAAAATTTCCAGCAAATATATTGCTATTTGTTAAGATCCAAAACCTTAGTCACCGTTGACTTCTCGAATTACTTCAATGCGATGTCAGCAAAACCCATTATTCTTACCTTCAAAATATAGCCAGAACCCATGTATTTCTCACCAAGTCTCCAGTCCTCACCCTGGCACAGGCTGCCAGGGCTACAAGGTACAGGCCTCCTACCTGGCCTCTTTGCTCCAGTTTTCCTTGCCCTACACTCTATTCATGACCCAGCAGTTGTACTGATCTTTCTAAAACATCAATTACACCATCTCACTCCTCTGTTCAAAATTCACCAACAGTTACCCAATTTCCACAGAATCCCCCCCCCACATATTCTTAGCATGATATGTAAGGCCCTGCACAACGTGACTCCTCTGTCAACACCCCAGTCTCTGTTCCATGTCCTAGCATCCCCAGCTCACTCCATTTCCCCACCATGTCTTGGTTATCAAGTGTCATCTCCTCAGCAAGGCCTATCCTGACCACCCCATCTAAAATTGCATGTTTTATTCACTCTTCCTGCTTTGTTCTTCCCTTACCCCTCCACAGCACTTACACCTTCTAAAATACCTCTTGACTTACTTAAGCATTAAGCTGATTGCCTGGTTGCCCCCACTGCAATGCAAACTCCGTGACAGAAGAGAAGTTTGTCTTGTCTGTTCTATACATATTGTCTCCAGGGCCTTACAAAAATGGTAAGATGTGTAGGCCATATTCCACACAATTCTTATATCACCTCTTGGTGTAAGAAGTTAAAAGAGAGAATTTACTTTTTGAGGCTATGGCCACAGAGAAGGTATGTAGATGTTCTAGACATCAATGACAGTGTGGCCTGCCTCAATCCTGGGCACTGGTTCACCTCTAGGTCTCAGCACAGTACAGAGGCTTATAAATATTTATTTACACAATAAGTGAACCAAACATTATGAAAACTCTGCTTTTTCGAGAATGTTAAAGAAAAACAGACAAAGTTTAGGAAAATCATGTAGACTGTCTTTCCTACCCCACACAAAAAATAATATATACAACTGTAGTGCTGTGATACTACACTGTTTACTGCAAAATTTAGTAAAGCAAAAATGGTGTGTGAGATTAGATAAAAATCAATAGGTTAACCAACAATGCTATGAGCAAGATCAGTAAGCAGAAAAGAGAACTCCAGGCCCCTTCACATGGCATACAATTTTGTCCAAACTGGCTTTCCTACAGAAACCTGGCCTTAAATGAGAAGATCACTGGGACTAAACTATTAAGGAATGAACTGCTTATAAATGACACCAAAAGCAGTTCACAAAAAATATGAGTCTGACTTTCACAATTCTCATACAGTTATTATTTTATTTGTTTGCCTTACGGAATATCAAATATCAAGGCAAGACAATAGGAGGAATATAAAGAAAAATATTAGCTCGGCTTGGTGACTCAGCCTGTAATCCCAGCGCTTTGGGAGGCTGAGGTGAGTGGATTGCCTGAGCCCGCGGGTTCGAGACCCGCCTGGGCAACTTGGCGAGACCTCATCTCTACAATAAATCAAAAATTAGCCGGGTGTGGTAGCGCGTGCCCGTAGTTCCAGCTACTTGGAAAGCTGAGGCGGAAGGATCGCTGGAGCCCAGCAGGTCGAGGCTGTGGTGGCCGGGAACAACCACTGCATTCCAGTCTGGGTAACAGAGTGAGACTCCAACTCAAAAAAAAAAAAAAAAAAGAAAGAAAGAAAAATATTGATCACATTATATATGCATAATCTACATTTATCTTCTATTACCTCTTTTATGTTTGCATTAATCAAGGGGTTACAGATTTGAATAACTTCAACATTTTAAAAATGTGGTTCTCCCAATTAGTACTTACACTATACCCTATACTGTATCCTATACTAAGCTTAATTCCATTAATATTGCTAATGATCATTTCTGTTATTGTGTCTCACTGTTTCTACCACAAAAGCAAGTAAGTTTTCAAAAATTTTAACCTATCTACAAAAATTATGACTTGGTAAAGATTAACGAAATATTACTTATAATAAAGAACCATAATCATCTTCTGAAGACAAACAGACAATAGGTCTCAAAATACAACAAATTCCAAAAGGTAATGGTATTGGTATTATTCACTTTCCTTACAAAGTTTCATAACAATTACTATACCTCCCTTCCATTACTCTTGAGGAACTCTGGGGAAGCTGAGGAAGGCACTGAAATTGTAACTGGAAGATGCAAAGGAGCCCCAGTTTTGCCTGTGAGACAAAGAAAGAATCATTTCACCATCCTGAACCTCAGTTTCTTCAACTATAAAATGACAATAACAATACGTATCATTTACTGAGTGCTACGTGCCAGTCAAAAAATAGTGTAATAACATTAATAATAAAAATATGATAATGAAGACATAATAATGATCCCAGGTTAATGCTAACTCTGTGCCAAGCCTTGTTCCAACTACTTTTAAAACACTGACTCATCCAGTTATATTAATAACCAACCCCATGAGGTAAGATACTGCTATCCCCATTTTACAAATGAAGCAATCAAAGCATCAAGAGGCCAGGTAACTTAAGGTCACAAGGTCACACAGCTTTTGAGTAGTAAAGTTTGAAATCAAAATCAGGCAGTCTGGCTCCAGAGTCTGATCTTCATCAATTTGCTGCAGTGCTTTATACTTATTTTTTCAATTAACACTTCCAGCAATCAACAACATAGATAATATTACAATCCACATGTGACAAGCAAACACACTGAGGAACAGGGAAATTTAACATACCTAGTATCACTACTAGCTGGTCAGTAGCAGAGCTGGGATAAGCACCAGGTATTCGGACACCAGCTAAATCTCACAATTAAATCACGACCTAACATACCACCTAGCTCTAGTGCTACAAAGGTTTCTAGAGAAAAGTCTGGAAACAGGCCCCATCTGGCCTACAAAGAATGAATGAGGACTAAAGGGACCAAAAGAGGAAAAGAAGAAACACAGCAAAGAATGTGTGAAAGAAGAAACACAGAAAGAATAGGTAAGCTGCTCTCATCCCCACGCAACACCCTAATTCACCCTAATCTTAAGGCTCATGTGATGGTCCCCTGGTAGAAATACTGCCCCAGAATAAACTCAGACAAAAACCATCACCGAGCATGCTACATATGTAGGGGGTACTTGAGAGATGCATCAAAATCATTCAGAAAATAAAATATAACCACTGAATTAACTGACACTGAAATACAAAAAATTGATGGGAAAATTCACCTCTTTTTTTTTTTTTTTCCCCTGAGTTGGAGTCTCACTCCATCGCCCAGGCTGGAGTGCAATGGCAATGCTCACTAGTCACACCAGCATCGACCTGCTGGGCTCAGGCAATCCTTCTGCCTCAGTCTTCCAAGTAGCTGAAACTACAAGCACACGCTACCACACCCAGCTAATTTTTTTATTTATTGTAGAGATGAGGTCTCACCAAGTTGCCCAGACTATTCTCAAACCCATGGACTCATGCAATCCCCTCAACTAGGCCTCCCAAAGTGCTGGGATTACAGGCTTGAGTCACTGTGCCTGGCTGTAAAAACTGAAATTATCAATAAAATCTTATTTAATATTTCTGTCAATTGGGTATGACAATCGCTATCTAAAAACATGTATTCAAGTACCTCTGAAATTAATAACATAAAAACCATTTCCTTTCATTATCTAAAAAAGCAAAAAAGAAAACTTCTGAGCTTATTATTCACCTAAGCAGTGTTTTCATAGACTAATTAATGATCATTTCTCATTTGTTTGGCCATATCAATAGAGATCAAAGCTAAATTCCAGATTTAGAAACTGTTGGAAGACTCATTGACATAAAAAAAATTGTAAGACTCCTGAAACCTGTAACGATGCTGCATTCATTTTTCAAATGCAGTGGCAGAGGCATGAGGACACAGGACAGGACAAGAAGCTCACCAAAACTTTCAAACTATTCACATAAAATAGAGGAGGTTGTTTGTTTTGTTGGTTGGCTTTTTTTTTATTTTATTTTTTGCTTCTATTGACGATAATGTAAATATTTAAAGGCAATCTCAAGTAGTTATTTAATGTTAACATTGCCCAAAACAAGTATAGAACTTTTATTTTATTAAAATGCATAAACAACATCCAATTTCACCACCATAAATTTTTTTACCCTATGAATCTAATTCATCCACAGTTCGATCACTCACCTTATTTAACAAATAACAATAGTATCAAATATTTTGTGCTTTTCAACTTAGGGTAACTCCAAGCTAACTGAGGCAAAGAAAATCCCTGACAAGGTTGTAAAGGTTCTGGATTCCTCATTAGAAAGTGGGTTTTGGGCCGGGCTCGGTGGCTCAGCCTATAATCCCAGCACTTTAGGAGGCTGAGGTGAGTGGACTGCCTGAGCCCACGGGTTTGAGACCAGCCTGGGCAACTTGGTGAGACCTCGTCTCCACAATAAATAATTAGCCAGGCATGGTAGCACGCACCTGTAGTTTTGGCTACTTGAAAGGCTGAGGTAGAAGGATCGCCGGAGCCCAGATGGTCGACAATAGGGTGGCTTTGAGTGTGTCACTGCACTCCAGTCTAGGTGATGGAGTGAGACTCCAACTCAAAAAAAAAAAAAAGAAAAAGAAAAAGAAAGTGAATTTTGAAGTTGCAAACATACAGTCTAGCACCAGGGACTGATGGTATCAGAAGGGCCCCTTGTGGTGAATGTGAATCCCTTCTAGAGCCTACATTTCTCAGCTAAAAAGAGAAATAATATAAAATCAACAATATACATTTAAAATTTATCCTTCATTAATTACGACCTGAAAAAATATTTCTACAATTTGACTCTATGCTGTTTTCAAGAAATATCAGCAACATCTAGTTGGAATTCACCCCTTTCCATAATTCCATTCTGAGCAATACACATACATGACAGAGACAGTTTCTCTTCTTTCCAAACACAGCTACATAGTGGTTGGCTGTCTTTATCAATTTCATGCTTTTGGTTTTGTCAAGCTGTTATCAATTATATTATTCCAGTTTATCAAGAAATTTAGAGAGTCACTTTTCCAATTCTACCTACAATTTTTTATCATTAAAAATGTTAAAACCAGCTGGGCTCGGTGGCTCAGCCTGTAATCCCGCGCCTTTGGGAGGCTAAGGTGAGAGGACTGCTTGAGCCCGGGGGTTCAAGACCCGCCTGGGCAGCGAGACCTCATCTCTACAATAAATCAAAAAAATCAGCCGGGCGTGGTAGCGCATGCCTGTAATTCTGGCTACTCAGAAGGCTGAGGCGGAAGGACCGCCGGAGCCCAGCAGGTCGAGGCTGCGGTGGCCGGGAGTGGCCACTTCACTCCAGTCTGGGCGACAGAGTGAGACTCCAACTCAAAAAAAAAAAAAAAAAAGTTAAGTTAAAACCAACTAAACGCCCATTACGATGGCTACTACTTTTTTTTAACAGAAAATAAGTGTTGGCAAGAATGTGAAGAAATTGGAACACTTGTGCACTGTTAGTGTAATGTAAAATAATAAAACTGCTACAGAAAACAGTATGGAGGTTCCTCAAAAAATTAAAACTAGAACTACCACATGATCCAGGAACCCCACTTCTGAAAGCAGGGTCTTGAAGAAATACTTGCACAGTCATGCTTACAGCAGTATTATTCATGATAGCCAAAAAAGTATAAGCAACCCGAGTGACCATTCACAGAAGAATGGATAAACAAAATGTGGTACACACGAGTGGGTACCCAGAAAAACCAGAATTATCTTTTGGAGGGCAGGCCCCTTGTAGTATAGGATTCTCCCACTAGGTTAGTGTCCTAGGAACCCAGAGTACCAGCTAGTGGTGTGGGAGGCTGCATTCAACTTCAATGAAAATTTATTTGGAGATTGTTTCAACGCGCTTGCCCATTTCATGATGGGGGATTTACCAGCACACCTGCCCACACTGCACTGTTCAACAGCTTTTGACCAAAAATGGCATGACCTCTGTGCCCTACCCTCCCAATTCAACCTTCCTATTCACCTCAAGTGACTTTTGTTGTTTCCCCAGGTGAAAAAAGTCCTCAAAGGGAAACATTTCGTAAACGTGAAAGAGGTGAAACAAAAAACAGCAAAAGCACTAAAAGACATCAAAATCGACAAGTTCAAAAACTGTTTTGAGCTGTGGAAAAGTATCTTGATAGGTGTACTTGATTGGATATGAACAGGTGTGTTGGTGTATGGAGTACTCTGAAGGTGACTGAAGTTTAAACATGTAATACGCAATTTTTAAAAAAATAAATTCCGGTTTTTTTGCCCCTCCCCACCCTGCACATATGAAATGTTACTCAGCCTTGACCACATGCATAAGATTGAAACTGGACTCCTACCTATTACCATACACAAAAACCAACTCTAAATAGATCAAAGATCTAAACGTAAAACCTCAAACTATAAGAACCTTAGAAAATGCAGGAGACACCCTTATGGAAATTGGAACTGGCAATCAGTTTCTGACCAAAACCCCAAGTTTTGCCATAAGAGATAAGATAGACAAATGGGAACTCATCAAACTGAAAAGCTTCTGCAAAGCAAATGAAACCATCAAGAGAGTGGGGAGACAGCCCATAGAATGGGAAAAAATATTTGCCTAATATCCAGGATCTACAAGGAACTCAAATGTGCTGAAAGGAAAAAAAATCAAACAGCCCTATTAAAAAGTGGGCAAAAAGCCGGGCTCAGTGGCTCAGCCTGTAATCCCGCGCTTTGGGAGGCTGAGGTGAGTGGATTGCCTGAGCCCGCGGGTTCGAGACCTGCCTGGACAACTTGGCGAGACCTCATCTCTACAATAAATCAAAAACTAGCCGGGCGTGGTAGCGCACGCCTGTAGTCCCAGCTACTTGGAAGGCTGAGGCGGAAGGATCGCCGGAGCCCAGCAGATTGAGGCTGCGGTGGCCAGGAGCGGCTACTACACTCGAGTCTGGGCAACAGAGTGAGACTCCAACTCAAAAAAAAAAAGTGGGCAAAAGACATGAATAGACACTTCTCTGAAGAAGATATATAGGCAGCCAATAGACACATGAAAAAGTGCTCAGCCTCATTAATCATCAGAGAAATGCAAATCAGAACCACACTGAGAAATCATCTAACCCCAGAAAGAATGGCTATCATTAACAAAACAAACAGCAAATTCTGGCAAGGATTCAGAGAAAAAGGGCACTTCTACACTGCTGGTGGGAATGCAAACTAGTGCAACCTCTTTGGAAAACTGTGGTA